TTTTTTTTTTTTTTTTTTTTTTTTTTTTTTTTTTTTTTTTTTTTTTTTTTTTTTTTTTTTACAAAAACAGACCTCCCAGAAATAAACCTGCAGCACTGCACCCTTTCGACAGATCAGAAAACAATTTTAATAGTTTTTTTAAACATTCCTTGAAGTCTTTTCAGACAATCTTAATTGGATATAGGTCTGAATTAATAGAAAAGTTCAGCTAGTTTCAACTTCCGAGATCATCTCAACGTCTCTCCATGTGGTGCTGCTGTTTGACAACACTTCAATTCTATCTAGTAGCATGAGGTGAGGGTGGAGCAGTGAACACTCTCATTGTGTGGAGTTCACCAGTGGCTGCTTCACCGACCTTCACTGCACGGTTTGTATAGGGATTCATTGAGAATCCACCGTGTTTGCCACAGCCACCGTGTGCGGTCTGGACGCACCACAAAAGGTGAAGGTTTACTCAGTTCTCAAATCTTCCTTATATTCTTTCCATTTTGCCCTGTTTGTAGCCTTATCTTTATTTTCTCACCCTATTGAAAGAAGCATTCCCTCAACATTATACTGCCACCGCTATGTTTCAGAATTTGTTTTGGGAGTCAAGTTTAATGATACACTGTTTACGTCTATGTACAGTAGAATCAAATATTTCCTTTTTGGTCTCAATTGAAAACAGCAAGTTGGATGTTTAAGGCTTTAAGGCTTCTTTTTAACCTAATCTACTTTATCACTGACCCTCTTCTTTGTTGCTTGGTCTTTACTATACATGTTTGTTCAGAATTTGCTTAACCAACATTTTTCCAAATTCAGCTGTGTTTATAGTTAATTTCAATTGCACATCAATAATGTTTTCCTGTAGAAAACTAGCAGAGCTGTGGGTTTACCAAATTTAAGGTGTGTAAATGCTTATTCAAAGGCACTTCATGTCCTGTCATGTTTATACTGTGAATTTGTATTTGAAATTATTTTGGTAATTCAAACATTCAGTTTAACCATAGAAAAATCAGACTCAGGAATGTGTTTTTACCTTCATGATGCCATTCCAGTTGTCGCCCGTGGAGACTTGAAACAAGGTAAGGAAGGCCATGCCAAAGTTTTCAAAGGTAGCGTGACGACTCATACCTTCACATGGATAGTCTTCATTGCAAACTGAGAGTGAGGTTAAACAATGGAGGGAAATTAGGAGAGAAAAGGAGAATACATGTTGAGTTGATGACAGGAAAAAACATCAAGGGAAAGAATGGTATTAGATGACAGAAACAATTAATGCTTGAAGGAGATTTTTGCCCAAAGCTGAAGTAGAGACGGACTGATACATCTGTCCGTCCCATGGCTGGTTTTCCAGTTTTATTTGAAATCTGAACTCCTTTTTTATATTTTTATAAGTTTAACCAGCATTATTGCCTTTTATACATCCGTTCAATCAAAATTGCTTTGGAGGAGGTCCTTAAGCTGTCAGGAAAGATAATTTGGCTTGAAACTGGATATTTTTTAAATTCCATTTATAAAATAAATCAACAGCAAGTGGTTTAATTCCCAAACGGTCAATATCAAAAATAGCTTTAGAGAAAAAAGATTTAGAACTTGGCCAATGTGGAAAATACTTGAAGGAGATTGTTAGTAAAAAAAAGTTAACATACATTGTGGGTGCTCAGGTGGGGCTTGCTATAATAAGAGTAGAGTAATTTGAAGCTATGTAACTGTTCCTTTTTTCTCTTGTATAAAGTGCCCCAAAGAAGCATTTAATAGTCTTTAAAATTTACAAGTAATATGTACAAGTATCAAGATATTTCTTTCATGACAGACCACAGGGAGGAGATGTGTTTTTGTTTTAGCCAGAAGACTCAACTGGCATTTCAACCCGAAGATCAGTCATATGTCAGCTTTAGAAGTTTCTTAAAAAATCCTGAACAGTTTGAGACTCTATATGTTTTAGTTTAGTTTGATCAATATGATACCAATAAATTAGATGTTATTACAGTTTTCAGAAACTTAATTTTTTTAGCAATTACTGATAGAATGGAGTGTGTAATACAAAAAAAATAAAAAGGTATCATTCATATATACCCCAATAAATAATTGAGGTTAAAAAGGTTGAGGATATTTTTTGCTAGGTATTTTACTGTGTGTTAAAGCTTACTTGTCTTTTTTTTTTTTAAATAATTTAGATGTGTGTGAAATTACAAAGCAAAAAAAAAAAAAAGTTGAACTCTAGATATTTATAATGTTATTTAGAAACCCACTGGCAAACATTTTTACTTTGAAATGTATGTGACTACCCCCACATAATTACCGGTACTTTTCTTTTTTTTCTCTAAGAGTTAAAATATATAAAATATTTTCAACTGAACCAAGGATAAATAAAAAAACTCACCAAGTTCTCCAAAAAGCTCTACTCCTAAGGCGGCGTAGATGAAAAACAGCAGCATGAAGAGCAGGCCCAGGTTACCCACCTGCAACATAATATAAAAACATGCATAAATGTGCATATAAACATGCAGACATGCACATGTAAATGAGGTAAAGCCTTTTGTGCAGCTACCTTATGTTGTGCAACAAAGTACTAACATCTGCAGCAGCAGATTTTCTGCATAAAAGTATCTCTAATGATCTGAATAATGTGAAATATGTTTGTAATAAAAACAAGAAAATCTCATTAGGCAGATCTTTATAAAGCAAAAATGTAAAACGTGGCTTTTTTAATCAGACTTATGATTAACTAGAGATCATTAATTTAGTGCTTTTTATTATTTTTAAGCAACATATAAGAACTTTAGAAACTGCTTTTCTTTATAAAATTCAGTATAAATCTTTTTTTATTCCATGGAGAATAATCCTTTGCTTCTGGTATAAATATTGATAAGATCAGCACTAAATGTTTAGTATTACACGACTCAGCTTGTTTTCACCGTGTTGTTTTGATGTCACATTGTTTGGATCAGTAAACTGTAGCACCGCTTTTTAGAAGATTGTGAGTCTCTTGTGCTTTTATGAATTTTTGAGTTTGGGGACCTGGCTCAGTTCCACCACAAAAAGCCTCCTGTTAACAGAACTTAATGGGGATAAAGATGTTAGAAAGTAAACACTTGGGGCAAAAATCTAATCCCATTATAGAGATATGAAACAGTCTTCTAACAGCGGTGCTCCACTGAGAGTGAGGACATATTTCCTGCTGTTAACCTATACCTTTGTTCAAAAACAGAGCTATAGAATTGCACATATTTTGCCAACAACATACAGAAGGCAGCAGTTGCTTTCTTTTGGCTTTGTGCAGTAAGCCTGGAGGTAGTCGATCAGCAATTTACCATTTGATACTTCTCAGGTTAAAAGAAAACATTGTTTGAGCTAATAAGATGTAAATGCTAAGATTTGCACAAAGGTGAGAGAGATAATTGGAAGAGAAGAAAAAGAATGAAGTTGGAAACAGTTGGAAATCGTTTTTCATGTACTGTTTCAAATTACTATAAGATATGGCATTATAACTGAAAAATATGTCCTGGTTTGGTTGACTTTTGAGTTGCTTTAATAACTAAATATTAGAGGAAAATTTCAGAAAAATTAACCAGAAGGTATGGATAATGGATAATGAAAGCATTGGACTAACTGTCTTCCCTGACTAATATTTTGTGATCATACATAACATGAGGACCTACTGCCTCATACCATTTTGATCCACGTTTTCTGCAAAATGTGAGAAACCACAATGTGCTTTGTTTTTTTTTATGTCAGAAACATTTTCTGCACGAGTCTTTGGCTAATCTGCTGAATTGCACCAATGTTACAGATTAAATTACAACTTCCGCGTTAAGGAAGTTGAAATTACGGCTGTGTTTTGATGCAGCCTGTTGCTCTGACATCGCATCCTCAAGTAGGGGGACCTTTAAAACCACCAAAACCTCATTTTTCTTCCTCTTCCACTGGATCTCTGTATGGATACAAGAAGAAAACCCAGCAAGCCAGCTGGCCACCACGTTCGATGTGGTGCAGAAACTCCGGAGATGTGGTCCATTTTTGCACGTGAAAAGGGTTGAATCCCTCCCAAGTTAAAGACAAACATTCAACTTGTGTGCTTTTCATGTTACAGTCATCATTCCCGTCTTCGTAAAGTTGTGTCTTGACAATTGAGTGTGTCGGTTGATCAACCTTCTTTATTGGAATTAGTTAAACTTGATTGATTTGAATGTTACCAAAGACTACTGTTACACATCTGTTTGATGTATATAATATATGCTGCTAATATGAACAGTTTAGCTAAGGAACTGAACATTATCAAAGATTCTACCTAAGGAACTCATTTAAACTATTTTATGTTTACTGATTCTTTTAATGTATTATGAGTGTATTCCAGTAGCCTGCAGTGTTTGCATAGCTTATTAAACACAATAATACTGTAACAGGGATTATTAGGTTTAATAGGAGTAACATTATTTTTAGTGGGTTGTCTATGATTATTTATGCAGCAGTGACCGATTGTCTCTAAGAGCTGGATCACCTTCCTTTAAGTTAACAACATGAATAGACAGAGACATATGTTTTCCTTGTGGTTAATGATTAATAAATCTGCTTGAACCATAAACCAAGTTAATGACATTTTCTGATGGTAGAGACAACTTGGATTTTAACAGCCAGTCCAAAACATCCAGCCACAAAGGTAAGCCATTAATAACACCCGGTAATTGAGCAAATTGTTGGTTATAATCATTTAACTAAAGATCATACTTGGTTTTACCCTTGAAAAGAATGATATATTCATTTAATATAATTTACAGTTCTTGTTATTAATAGATATATTTTTTGCTGGTAAAATTGCATGACATGCTGCAGACTTTGCCCTCTACATGCACTAATGTTTCTTCTGTTCTTTTCTCAATATCACTTGTAGAGAGTGACCCCTACAGACTGGGGGACACCCTGAACAAATAGCTCTCATACAGCAATCACAATTTGGCCCTTGTTAGATATGGACTATCTTTATGCTTTCCATTTTTCCTGTCACTATCTTTGAGGACGAAATGTTTTTTTGCTATTAAATTTATTCATCAGATAATGAAGGTGAATAAAGGAAAGACATTCACTACCCCTATAGTCAAGATTCTTTTGCTCAATATGAAGGCTACTTCCTTTAGTACCAAAATGGTAAATGATCTGTAGTTGTATTGTTATTTATGAAGCTTGCGGACCCCAAAGCTTTTCACTCTATAGTCATTCATTGACGTAAACCTATGGTAAGATACATAGTAGCCATGCCTGCTATGCCATTGGTGCCAACAGGCCCTGAGACCACCAATGAGAGGTAAGGTGGGTGAAATGTATTGCCCAATGGCACAACGAAAGGTATGTTGTGTCTTGGGGCTCAAACCACTAACCCAATTATCCAAAATAGTTAAAAACAATCCACTGGACTTTGTTTCCAATTTTTAATTCATTTTACTTCCCATCCAGGAAGCTTTTTCAATTCAAATTATGAGAATTAGCGTTGAGTTCGAAGCTTTATAGAGTAGCCCGAAAACTTGTTTTGCCTTAGAAAACTGGCAAACCTGAGGCATTTGTGTTGTTTGTTAGCTTGCAATATGCAATACTGGTTTATGCCTTTGAAAGGAAGAATTGTTGGCCTGGCTGCCCAGGCGAGATGTTTTGGTCCACTGCATGGGGGTGGGGAATGAGATGAAAGTGGGAAGTAATTAACTCTACTGCGGCGTTGTAGGTTTCATTTTTAACTTTTTTGGGATGACGATGACCTGGATGAATGAGAATCTTCACCAGCACTAACCCAATGGTGACAGGGAGAACCCTACACATTTACCACAAACAACTAGCTATATGCAAGGATATAACTAATCTTAAATTATATAGACTGAAAGGTCTTGTTGATATTTTTTCTGGTATTAAATACATATTACAGAAACACAAAATTTTATGAAATTTAAATCGTTACTTTTATCATAGTGGCAAAGCAAAATATTAAAATGTGATCCAATGTGTTTAACAGTTTTATTAATAAAAATTTGCTTAATCTTAACTTCATCCTTCAAAAAGCTGAAAGAAAAATTTATTGTATCTGCTATTTACAAATGAGGAAGTTACCTATGATGGACTGGTGTTAGTTAATTGCATTTTACCTATATACAGTTGCCTAATATGAAGGACCTCCATAGTATAAGACAGTAAAGCAATTGAAAGTGAATAAAACATAAGAAATATATCATATTTCAAAGAAAGTAACACTGAAATAAATTTAGCTGAATGTCATTTCAAATGCACAGTGAAATATCACTTGAGGTAAAAACTGTGACCAGGTAGGACGCTCTAAGAATCTTTATAAGCAAACAGACCCAGTACAGACATAAAAAAGAGACCTCCTGGAACTGTTTAATTAGCCTTAGTTTTAATTACCTGCCCGACTGCCCTTGGGATGGAGCAAAAGCCTGGGTGTTAATGAGGGAGGGATCAATAGAAAGAAAGATGAGGAAGCCTATCTTCTTTAGACCTGGTGGTCCTCTTTGCACCACACCACCTGTTCTATGTGTCTGCTTCATACTTTTATAGTCAAAGGATCAGGGGGTTTGTGCCTTTCCATAATGAGGCACAATATGTGTTTGTGCCCATCTATGTCGAGACAGCACAGATACTTTAAAGGCTAGTTAGAATTTAAGGAATTATACTCCTGTGCCTTTCTCTTCACATTTTCTTGGAAACAGAAGAGATCACTCATATTTTTTCCAAACACTGTGCAGCAGAAACAACAATTGCACATTGCAGAGCTTTTTGGTTTCATTCATGCTGTGAGACTTGAATTTCCCAGATCAACAAACACATTTTATATTCAGAACAATATAAGCAGGGTAAAAAAAAAAGCCAATATGGCATTGTTAACGAGTAGATTTCTGTGATTATAAAGATTATTTTTTGTTCACTTTTGCAAGTTAAACTCCAACCTGATTACTTTTAGACCTATACAATCATAAAGGTCACTTAGAAAAGCCTGTCTGACAACAAGAAGCAGGCTATAATATGAAAAGTAACACTTTATTTTCTAATGTCAAGTCATAGAGGATCAGAAGAGAAATAATGTCAATGAGGAAAATCAGTCAAGAAAAACTTGGAAAACTATGTTTAAGAGGGATCCACTTCAGAGAATCCCAGTGAAAACCATCATTAAATAGGAAGAAAATGTGGAACAACAGTGACGCTTCTGGGGTTGATGGCCCACAATATTACATCAAGGATCTGATCTTCAAAGAATCCCAATAAGCGATGCAAAATGGCGTGGGTTAAAGAATTGCATGTACAATATGTTTGCATGTATTTAAAGATTGTCAGTTTTCAAAAAAGTGTTTTGAATAAAAGCCAAGGTTGTCAGGTTTGGTCTAATCTGACCAGAGCAACTTCTTCCACATGTTCTCTGTGTCCCCTATGTGGTTTCTTATCACAGGTAGCGAGGCAAAGGGAAGACAGGGCACTTTCTGTGTATGTGTATCTGGATACCACCCTTATCGACTTTGAGCAAACTAGAGTTAAACTAGAGAACTAGAGAAAATGAATAGCAGGTTTTGTTTCCCCATGACGTTTGAGTGAGATCAACCAAATGTCCTCCAGAAAACTGAGTTTCTGTGACTATGAGGAAGGAGCTTATACAACAGTGTTCTGGTGTACCTGAGGCAGGGCTTGAACAACTGTATCCAACAAGGCTCTCATTCCGGTAGCCATCTTCAGCAGCTTGAGGACTGTGTGAGTATATAAATACAAAAAAAGTTAGATCAAGGTTAATTTGGAAGGGGAATTCTCTAGGTTTAATTGTATATAGTACAGCAATATTATACAATAGAAAGATTCTTATCCTTCTTAATAAGCACAAGCATGTGGACCCAGGAAGAAGAATACTGAAGGCTATTACTGATATATGATCTGTGAAACTGTTTAACAGTTATAATGTTTATGCTCTTGTCTTTATGAGAAATGATTCCTGTGAATAAGGATCTCTGAAAGGCTTGGCATATGTACCTCGTGCTATCCTTAGAACCCTCATGATTCTGATGATAGTGGGGTTGATGGGCAAGGCAGCGCTGATCTCAATTTCCTCCAAAGTGATGCCCATAACTGACAGGAGAACAATGGCTAGGTCCAGCTGGTTCCACCTAATGCAAGGTCCAAACATATACAATCAGGGTGCAGTTTATACGTCTCCAAACTCTGCTTCTGAAGTGCAACACTTTCTCTTAATCAGTAACAATAACGTGAAGATTATTCTACGTTGCATTTTCTGTAATATATCCAGCCTTGGCACTAAACTCTGCAAGACAGAACTGCACAATTAAATAACCACACTTAAATATCATAAAAATGCATAAAATTGTCATTTGGTCATTGCTGTGACATCTGATCAGCAGGTAAGAAGATTTTGCAGCAAATATATCCAGTAAAAAAAATGTTTTTGATACCCGATCCTCAGAATTTTTATCATGTTCCAAAACTTAATGGCAACCTTGCAGGAAATTAAATATATTCTTTAGTATTTTTATGTACCTAAAGCTGCATATCTCTGTAGTAATTGTAAGTTCAAAGCTTACACAATAGTGACATTTGGTTTTTGCTCATTACCACCCTGTCCTGTTAAAATTCCTACCCTTATAAATGCTAAGACAAAACAGTCCATCATAAAGCCACCTCCTATTGATGTTTTTACAAATGAAAATTTTCGCAAACGTTTTAAAACTCTGATCTGGGAGCAGGCTTGATTATTCCAAAAGTTTTATGTGCAACGTTTGAACTCAAAAGGCTGCACATAAAACATTATTTTAAAAATATTAAAGAAACTACTCAACTTTCCCAAAAAACCTCTTAAATAAACTCAAAGCATATTGTTTTCATCCGCTTCCAGATCAGACTCCACCCATAAGGACCAAAAGCATTTTTCATATGAAAGTTATCCTCGGTATTTAGTAATTTAAGTTAAATATAAAATTCTAAGTCCTTATCAAAAATAAGAAAGTTTGTAGAATACCAAATCTTAAATAGAAATTAGAAGCATCCAGACTCATTAAAGATTTGGCAGAGTAACACAATAACAGTGTGACCTCTGTCAACTTTGAATGAACTTGTATTCATAAAGGCAATTTCCCTGTAGTGGGACTTCCTGTCAGTGATTATATGCCTTTTGTTCAGTTCTTCTTAATTCTATATGCTTCACCTGTAGAGAAACTCATGCACATGCAAACTAACCCCGTACATGTATGTGTTAATTCCTACTCCAGTGACCCAATTTTAAAGCTGCGAGTGACCCTGGACTACAAATCACTCTATGCAGTGTTCACGGCACAACATAAAACGAGACAAAGCGCTCGGAGATAACTGAGTAATAAATTCTCCTTATATCCGCCCATCTTTTTCTCATTTCATCACTCGTTTGTGCCCTTCCTCTTTCATCTTTGTTCAGTCCAGCTTCCCTTGTCATATATTATCTGTTCTTTATCTCTTCTTCTAACCATTTCTTCCCATCCTCTTACATTCTAAGATTTTCATCAGAATCTAAAATAGGTCATGACATTAAGTTACCATCAGTGCTATCTAAGTTTCCGTATTGCCTCCTGCCTTAATTAGGCAATACATATCCAAGATGAGAAAAGGACATCGGTTTTGTGCTGGTCAATGCTTTAGTGGTATAACAGAGAAAAAAAAATGGGACAATGCTGATGTGTTCTTACCATGGGGACCAAACAACGATGAAAGCATGTTAAATGTAGGAAACTGGAGTCCTACTGCTTAGTCCTATAACATCATGTGTGAAAAACTGTGAGACATGTTGATTGTTATCATGCAAAACATTAAAATAAACACATAACACAATGGATAATTGGTTATGTGATACATCTTTTCTTTAAATGGTCATAGAAAACAAAATGGAAAAAGTGTGATTTTGTTTTGCTTTAAGATACAAAATTAAACTTGAAATACGAAGCATTTCTCTGTCATGTCAAAATGAGAAATTCTGATAACAGATTTGAGTTTTGTTTTCTCTTTCAATTACTGTAACAACAAAACTAAATTACCTTAAAACAGAAACAAAATAAGGACTTTTTGAGACAGGATGTTGTCAATATTTTAAGAGTACCATATTTGACAGGGTGCAGATATAATGAGTAAGTTAAACAAAAGGGAAAGATCTGCAAGAAAATTTAGATTTTTCTTTCTCATGGCTAATGAGTTAGAGGTTTGTTCTTCAACCAGTGGGTTAATGGACCGAGCCAGTAGTGGTAAATTGGTATAATATGCATTTGCAGACATTCATCCTTTGGCCTTAAACAGACGAGTTTACAAAATTCAACATAGTTTAATTTTGATTTTAGGAAAGATTTTTTTTTTTTTTTTTTTAGCAATGATTTTTGCTAAGACTATAGTTATGGATCATGGGACTGAGTCCATACTGAGGGATTCCCCCCACCCCATGGATTTTAAATAAAGACTGGATTTTTAAACATTATTTTAGTGTTATAAGCCTTTGTAACAAAATCCTATTTTATATTAAAGACCTGAATACATCTTTAGTAAAAGCATTACATGTGGAGTTTGCTGTAAGTCTGTAATCACAGTGAAAAATACAGCCAGCTCAAATATTTCAGCAGACTTTATAATCCTTAATGCTATCAAAACAGTTATACCTCATTCCATTTAAACATGATCAAAGACAAATGGTGATTAATAAAGAAACACTTTGAACTAATGGACTATTTATTGTGGTGCCGGGTTCCATCAAGAGATTAATGTTTGTGCCAGAGCTTTAATCGTCCCTTTAATGATTAATACCTTCTTTTAAGCGTGTTTATAATAAGCAAAAACAAAAATGGAAGCATAAAACTTGCTCTCAACCTTCTTCATGCCAACAGTGCTTGAAATCACACAGGTGTAAACATACAAAATTACCTGTCTTTGAAGAAGCGCCGAAATCCAAAGGCGATGAGCTTCAGAATGGACTCAAGCACAAATGTGGAGGTAAAGAAATAGTTGCAGTATTTGAGGGCAAGATCCAGGGACTGAAGAAAAAGAAGGCAGTGAAAGAGAACACTTATGTGAACATAAATGCATGTGGAATATGAGAGGAGATGATCTGGGTTATAGCCCAGGCTGTGAGAAACTGCAAAATGGAATCTTTCCAGTATTTTCTGTGGTGAAATCAACAAAAGCTCAATGTCATATCAGAACGTTCTCCTTTTTATGACACTGTTGCAAAATAGGCCAGCAATTCATACGACAGAATCTGCAAACCTTTTTTTTTTTGCATGTGGCCTTCATAAATATGCAGATCATAATTTAATGACACAACCACACAAATCTGTGTCTGAAAATTGAAATATTTACCAAAATGATTTCTGAAGACCAAAACTCAACAGCAGCTGCAGTGTTTGCATCTTTTTAGCACACAGGTGAAAACTTACATGCAAACATTTCTGTAGTCATTGTGATGAAAAAAAGGCATTTATACAAAGACAGACAAAGGAGAATGAGTCTATGCATATGTAAACATATTGTGTCAGCAGAAATAGAAACATTAATGGAGAAATGGTGCAAGGCAGCTTAATGCAGAAACTTTATACAATTTAACGAAAAAAAAAAGATTATTCAAATTATACGGCATAGCTTTGAAAATTAAACTAAATAAATCCATAACTAAGCCTGTAAGAATAGAAGAAGAATTAGAATTGAACTTTATTGTCATTACATTGTCACAAGTACAAAGCAATGGAATGCACTTTCTGCCTTTAACCCATCCCTTTACGGAGCAGTGGGCTGCCACTGTGTGAAACAGTGTATGGAATAAGAATCTTGCTCAGGTAGCCAGAGTGGTACTCTGGGAATTAGCAGGACTAGACCTTAGAACCTCCGGGACCCAAGCGCAATGCTCTAATCACTAGGCCACCACTCCCCCAAGATAAAGTAAAGAGATGTTTGGGCACTCCTGAAAATAAATATTCCTTAGTTGTGCCAAAAGGAATTTCTTTTATCTCCTTCAATGTTGTTCAACCAGGTCCGCTCAAAGGACTGCTGTGCTTCATTAAATTACGAGGGACCTAACTTGTTTGCAGTATATCATGTCAGAGGTGCTGTTTGGGAGCAGGTGGTGGAGAGCGTATTTTGCTGTAATTCTGACCGCCTTCTCTAGGGAGGAGGGGTTTAATGAGGGGTGGGGGTGGGGTGAAGTGCAACGTAAATATTAAGTGATATTGTTGCTATAAATAAATGGTTATCGTCATTAATACCTCAAACTACATGGTTTAAAACTGCCAAGTATCGCACACAATCTGTACATTTCAATGCATATTTAAACAAAACCAAACTGGTTTGCTGGTCTTAACTCTGTAGATCACCTTCAACACGGCCACATATTTCACGTATAAAAAAACCCCCAAAATGCTAACTTAGTTTAGTGGCCCTTGTTTTGAATCTTTGAAGAATGGGCCCTAAATATGAACATGTTAAGGAGAGTTTTTAACGTTAAAAAGCCAATGATTTTGTAATTATTTACATGTCCAGATTTATTCCTTGAACAAAATTTTGCTCTTTTCTTCTTTCACACAGACAGTGTCATCTTCTTACATGTGAGAGGCTGCAAAATGTCAGGACCAACAACTGACAAACACAGGTGAGACCTGTGATATTTATCTAACGCTAAGTCCGTTTGAGAAAGCCTGCGCCATTTTCAAAAGGTCAAATGGGTGTCTTATCTCAAGATAATCTCTTTTCTCTTTAGCACAAAAAGTGTGATCAGTTATTAACCGGCATTTGCTGTGTGTGAACGGACTGATAGATGACTCTGACATGAGCCACATCGAGTCAGCTGCTAAATCACAGCTTTCATGTCAGGTCCACAGCAAGCTGCAATAAAAACAGTAGAGGAGCCTGACCTCTGTATAGAGGTGGTTTGCTGGTGGGATGTATCATTGGACCTTGTTCAGGAGGCTGCTGTTTACAGATGGGCACTGATGCAAAGGAAATTTCATTAAAAAAATAAATAAATAAACTAACCTAGAGTTAGTTGATTTTTTTGCCGACATGAATCATTTAGACTCCCAAATACCAATCAAGCACAAATCCAACAAGCATTACTCCTTACATGAGGTTGATTGTAGTGCTCTAATGACATCGTGATGACATTTATACAGATGATGAAGGTAATAATGAGGTCCAGGTAGTGGTTTGTGCAAAGTGTGTGGATCATCAGGCGGATGTTTCCATAACTGGCATAGTAAGGCAGCTTCTGAGCTTCTGTAAAAGAAAAAGAAACTTTTTAAAATCTTGAATCAAGCTAATTAAAAAAAAAGCTTAAAGAACAATAAAAAAAAAACTATACTTTAATGTTTAAAAGTGATTTATTAATTAGTCTTTTTACATGATTTAAGAAACAGAAATACACTGGAGTCAATTTCTGTGATCTGACAAAATGTGGAAAAGTTTGAGGGCAGGAATACATTTTGAAAAGCATCATATTAGTAATTTTATAAATGCATAAATAAAAAAAAAAAAGATTCTACTCTCACTGATTAAACCTCCAGTTATCAGTTTTAGTTGTGTCTGTTATTTCCTATTCCTCTCAGCCATCTTACTCACTCCTTCTCTTTTTTTCCATTCGCTTTTGTCGCTTCTCTTCACGTCTCTTGGCTTCTTCCACCTCCTGATGCTGGCGACACTTGTGGAAGTTTTCCACCACCACACCAACAAACATGTTAAGAACAAAGAAGCTGACAATGAGGAGGAAGGAGATGAAATATAGAAGCATCCATGGGTTGTTGTTGGTTATCGGCTATTGTAGATCAATGGAATGAGGAAAGAGAAAGAGAAAACAAATCAGAAAAGAGGCAGAATATATATAGATATATATATAATTTCACATTAAAACCTGTCTGTCTAATGCCTTTTGGCATAGAAATACCTGTTGGTCAACACCCACTGCATCCAGGCCATGGTACATGATATTTACCCAGCCATCTTTGGAGGCCAGTACAAACAGGGACATCAGAGCCTAGGGTGAAATGTTTTTGGAGACTGAATACATTTAATCATTCACAATTTGGATAATAATTCTACTGTATGTAAAACTGAAAAACAGCTATTTTTATCCCCACCTGTCCTAAGTTATCAAAGTTGTACTTATGATGGACCCACTTGTAGTTTGCTTGCAGACAATCGGATTTGTTGGTGATGTTTTTGACATCAGGGCCGAGACAGTAAAAAAACTTCCCTTTAAAGAGCTGCGAAATAAAGATTAAAAAAGCATTTTGAAATCACCTTATTATTTATGCAAAAGCAGAAAAATAAGCCATTTTGGTGTCACTCTAATGAGATAAAATAATGAGCTGGGTGAGAAACCCACCAGAAGAAAATTATGTATAAAAGAAGAAAGAATGATAAAAGTTTTCTTGGGAGAAAAACACTTTGGAATCAAAGCTGCTTCACCACAAAATACTTTACCCCTGTAGATTAATAATAATAATAATAATAATCTGCTTTTGACATGGCAAAATGCAGTCATAAAGAATAAAAGCATACAATAAGTTGAATACAGCTGTTGTACCTGTACTCCAAGGATACCGAAGATGATAAAGAATGCACAACAGATGAGGACAATGTTGCCAATAGGTTTGAGGGAAGTGATGAGGGTCTCCACCACCAGCTTTAATCCCGGAGCTCTGCTAATCACTCTAAAGAGAAATTGCATTACAATAACACATATCATTATCTAATAATTTGTGTTTTAAATCACTTACCACTGAAGTTGCACAAAATATTAAATATCATATACTTTATAATATATTATCTTTTTATATTTAATTTTTTAATATTTATTGGGCTATATGCCTAACTTTACTACTTCCTCAACTTCCGCCTGCTCCTTTGTTTCCTCTCTTTGATTACTGGACAGACTGATTAATCCAGGTGTGTCTGACCTCTCTATCCATAAGAACAATGGCCAGACACACCTGGGTTAATCAGTCTGTCCAGTAAGGAAATACAGGAAAAAGGAGCTGGCTAAAGTTCAAGTAATAGTGGAGATCTGGCCAACTCTAGGGAGAGTGTAGGGGAAAAAAAACACAATGCCACACTACATTTAAAAGTAGAAAATACAGTTTTTTTTTTGTGGCGATAATTACGGGCCAAATCATGAGTTGTCAAGAGAGGTTAATATACTCTTTCATCTACCACGTATTTTCACGCTGGTTTTTCTGAGTATTCATGCGCAATGCAGCAAAATCAGGCTGTGCAGAAGCACATGAAATGAATGCTAAAAATGGCTAATTTGACCATGCGGTGACGTGTGCACCTTGTGGATGCATCAAGCATAAACCAGGCTTTACACTCCTTGTTGAGGGTACCGAGGATGTTAACACCAACAGTCTTCCCACATGTAAATGTTTCCTAATTAAAAACCCACAACAATAACATTTTCCGATGAAGTTTAATGCATTTGGCCGTAAGCGATAATGGGCAAAAATATTAGAACTTAATATGGATAAAAACTCTTAAAATATATTGGCATGTGCACCATGAATCAATGTGCTTATATAATACACGTGTAACTGAGCTACCGAAATTAATACATTTTTCAATTGAATACTAACATCTTGACATGTACAGGTAAAGCATATTTTTTATAAGTTCTGCTTTTATTAATTCTCCATTTGGCTAAAGGATAATCTTATAGGTCAGTTGAATATACCATAGAGCTTATGGAAAAACATCACAACAATCATAGTCAGTGTCAGAGTATATAAATAAACAGCTACATTTATTATTTCTTTTTTGAGTTTTGGATGGATGGAATACAGAATTGTATATGTATTTGTAGAATTTAATTTGAATAATCTAGAATTTCAGCTTGGAAAAGATTAAAAGCACCATGGTTTGTGCTATTAAACACAGCAATATTAACATTTTGATATCTGGGCATATTTTCCCACACATCCACAGAAATCTAATATAAGACAAGTACAACATTTCAATATACAGCAAAACTACAGAGGAATCTACAAATATGATTTTCCATGTATCAGGCCTTGTGTGTACCTGAGGGGACGCAGTGTTCGAAGCAGTCGCAGTACTCGAAGCACACCCAAGATTTTCGCCCCTCCCGCCATGGACACAACAATATCAATCAACGACACAAAAACCAGGAATCCATCCAGAATGTTCCAGCTGCTCCGCAAATAAGCCTGTTCACCCATATACAGTCCCATGGAAACCACCTAAGAAGAAAGGTGGTAAGGGAATATGATAAGGGCATGGAATTGGTATATTAAGGCAGTTTAAACACACACACAAAAAAATAGAGATTCAGAGATTGTTGATTCAGAAAAAGTTTCAGGAATATAATAAGCAAAAACAAAAACCAGCTATATCATAATAGTAAGAGGAACAATAAATGCAGGACATGTTCTACACATGTAGTGAAGTCGACAGGCATCCCAAGACTATCCATTACAGACAATATGTGTCACATGGATGTACTGTACATTCTACACAATCATGGGAAACTTGATAAAAACATCAAGCAGATGAAATCTATAGGTAATAATGACAATCCCCATCATTTATCTTGAAACATAATTCAGAACTGTAGCTTTTTTTCTTACCTTGTAAAATAAACAGATCATCATCAAGAACTTGTAGGTCAAAAAGTGACACACTGTTTGCAGTACAAACATTGCAGTTTGGATGCACACAGATGGATACTGAGTCCTACAAAGTAGAAGTGGAAGCATGCGCCTAACAGCTGGCTAGCATTTTCTATTTTATCCTTGACTTCACAGGGTGTCAAGACTCTAAAGAGTTTCAGTAATTGCACCTCTACCGAACTGTAAAGGCCAATAAACGTGGAATGATATCCGTCCTGTTCATCTAAACCCCTCTAACCAAGATTTAAAAGCTGAGATCCTAAGAGAAATTTACAGTTAGAGTTTTAATGATGCTGTGAACACCATACTTAATCCGGTTTGGCATCAACTGAGTGGAGCAAAACACTATATTTGCTTACTTTCTACTGACATTACATCAGCTTTTATCCACATATAATCTCCTATTTTAGCTGTCCATCTCCTATATAGTCATAACATTAACCAGAATTAGTTTGCTGGTGTTTTTTTATTTTTCTATTATACCGACTCCAGAGGATGACGATCAGTGATGTTTAATTATCATACTTTTAACTAACACTAGTTCCCCTCAGAGCTGTGTTCTTTATCACTTTTATCCACAAACTTACCAGTGCATAGAGTAAAAATGAGGGCAGACACATAATACATTTTGCAGATGACTCTTTGTTTTATTATCAGGACGTAACCTTGGCTGTGTTGAAAGATTTAATCGGTTGGTCTCTGTGGAAAGGCTGCAAAAGTTAAAAATCAACAATACATTATCAAGTACTACTTATTTTCTTTGGCTAAAAGTCTATGATAAAGCTAGCCAGCATATATAAGTTTACTGGAAATGTTGATTCTTTTTTGGTGGTGTAAATGCTTTTGTTCTCTTTCATTGAGTCAGTTTCTAATGCTCTGCTATACTTTTCCTACCCTAAAACGCACACTAAATAGCACCACAATGCAGCAAAATCCTAGGCATCAGTGATGTAGAGCTTACCTAACCTTATTGTTATTAAAGGTGGCAATGTTTGGCTTGTAGATAAGGGATTATAAAACACAATACAAAAGGATACAAATGTTAATATGTCTCGGTCAATGTCACCCTTATTATTAGAAGTTTGATCTGATAGGCTCAAATAGAGACTGTAAAAGCTCATATTTTTCATTTCATGAATGTTATGGTCATTTTTATTTCTATCTGTTAAAAAATGAAAATAAAAATAGAAGGTCCATAGAGACAATACGGCAAAAGTCTGCTACTGACATTTCTGTCTGTTTGCCAAGTTTTTAGACAAGCTTTGAGAGATCATGAGGGGGTTTAGTATAAACATCAAAAGGGTTGAAAGATCAATGCCTGGAAAAATTATAATGTCTGAATAAAAAAAGCATTAACCAATTTTAATCATAAGAAGGGAAGTGAATCTGTAAAAAGCTCTTGGAGTTTTGACTTTATCTTAATGTGCAGTTATAAGTGTCAAGTGATTATCTTTTAGATTGTTTGCTTGTCATTGGGATGCTAAAATCCTATTTCATTTCTTCTGAACTTTGTTATTGTTGGTATTTTTAATACATTTGAAAAAAGTGCCAGTAGAAATAAGAACTTTGGGGCAGATTGTTGGCAATTATGCTGTTTTTATTTTGTTTACCCACTTGTCAAAAGAGAGGCCAAGTATAAAACAGTAGCAATGGGAAGAAATGTAGCAGATTTGAAAAAAAATAACTAACATATCTCTGTTGGGATAAATATTGTAGAAGAGATGTCATTTTAAGAGGGATAGCAAGAGCAAGCAAGCATAAGTTCTTGTGGTTTCTCGTGGAGTCTATTGATATTTTCATGTTATCATAATTGGCTAAAACAAAAGCTGGGTATGTTGGCACTGGGTGTCCCTTTGCTCAATCAGCTCCGACGGAACTGATTAAGTATCTCATGGGAACGGATCAAGACTGATCATTTGTAGGGCTAAATCTGAAGGCCACATATAAATCTTTTTGCCATGAAAGTACGGAAATTATATTTACATTGAGGGATAAAAGTTTAGAGTTTTTGAAGCTTACACTTGGGGTGTTTGGTAGACCCCAGCCTGTGTTGATCTTGAACTTAGCTTGATCCTGTGCTATTATGATAAATGGCCCTGTGTTGGCTTTCAGTCCAGCTTTGTCCAACCACTGTTAGGCCCTTTCAATATCAGACACTTCAGGGAGACCTTTCCCTCTCTTCTTTCTTGGGTGTCTCTGCCTAAGATATTCAGTAAGCACTTCATTAGTGGCGGCCATCCTCCTGTTATCCTCATAGACATTTGTTGGTTCATAATGAATCATGGTTCTGACTCTCACTAATCCTTGTTTTCCTTCTTAGGGTGAAATCCTCCATGCATGGTGAGGTGCTCTCTTATCTTGACATCGGTGGCTTCTGTCTCTTCCTTTAAAGTCATACGGAAAAGGACGTTCCAACCGTTTCATTTCCGAATTCTCCCAATTGGTGCAAGACTTTACACGAGTGAATAAAGTGAACGTGATTGGTCGTTTGTTGTCTGAAGGTTCACTAACAAGTTCGCTTACAAGTTTGATTGTGACCGGTTTCTTTGAAGCATCTTGCTAACCAGTTAGTAACTTATTGCTAGAAGTTTCCCTATGGGAGAGGTGGAAAGTGGGGACGAACATGTAGAAGAGGAAGCCAGTATCTTATCCATTAGCAGCTGGTTTATTTGTACAGGAACAGGAACTCATGGGATGCATTTACTTCTTTTGCCGCTAGGTGTAAATCATGTCGGGGCCCAATATTCCTCAATCTCTGGGAGCAATAGCCAGCAATTTAACCCCGCTGTAGGTTTAATGTGGTGACCGGTGAATCAGAGCCCTTCCCTTGGAGAACAAGATACTAGAGCACTTTTTGGTTCCTAGAAAGTTTAAATTTACAATTTTAGCCACAATCATCCATCATTGCTGTCTAAGCTTGACCATTCCCCTTCGACCCATACTGAATCATGGGGAATAATGGGCTACAAGGATAATCCTGATGCATCCTTCAGATTGGCTAAAGAGTGTACACACTTGCTGGTCGCATTTGAAGAAGTCTTAGGAGGATTTTTGGATAGGGACTGCCTTTGATCAAGTGTGTTATGTAATCAGTTTACAAATGCAGCTTGGAAAGGACACAGCCCCTGAATCGAGACATACCCTTACATTTTTATTTCATTCTATTCTATTCTGTCACCGCAGTACAATTAGCCAATGCAAACTAGTTCTTAAGTTGCTTCTAAAGTGTTGAATCAACACTGTTTCATTCTTCAAATTTAAAAAAACTTATGTTCGCATGTAAAAATTAGGTGTCCTGAATAAGAAAAAAAAAATAATTATCCAAAATTGATCAGGTCAAGTAAATATAAGGATTTTCAAAAATAACTTTTTTTGGATAGGATTCCAATAAGATTTAACTGCTTCTTCTTCCAAATATAAGGAAATGAGCGTTTTTTGTTTTTTAAACCAGTGTGCCTCTTTACATATTTTTTTTATCTCTATGGTCTGCAGAAACCATGCAAGAATGCATTATACATCAAACATATGTTTTATAACTTCAATATTTTTGCCTGAAGATGTTTCATGCAGCTGACCAATTTTCCTACTGTGTTATATTTTTCTTTTTCCTTTTTTTGGCTCCATCTCATATGCAGCATTCAAACAGATGATAAAATCCTATGGAGAGATTGATGCTACACAAACAAGCACATCAACACATTTTTGAGATATACGAGGTTCCGACACACAGGCTCTAAGGAAGACTTGTACCACTCAGCCAGGGGACTGACAAGTCTGAGGCTCCTCGACGAGTTCAGATTGGTTAATAATTGATTGTGGGAGTACATAATTGATGGCCCACTTATGCCAGATATTCGCCCAGAGAAAACAGACAAAGAACAAAAAATTCAGGGAGCAGAATCCCAGAAATAAAATGGAGAAACAAACATATTACGATTTGTATAAATTACTCTTGAGACCCGAAAAGTTAAAGCATAAAGGCCATGAGAAATGGTGGAGATTTCAGTGGAGTAGAGGACTTCTAAAGTGGTAGATGGGTCAGTGGTTAGTGAACTGCATAATGCCTTATTTTGCAAAAACAACCCAGTTTTTAATAACGGAATGGGACATTAAAATATGTTCTATGTGAGCTCTGAAGATGGGTCTATTGAAACCAGCAAACAAAGAAAATATCTCTTTAGAGGCTGCATCAGCAGTAAAGTGAGACAGGTTGTAAAATGTTACCTTGAGAGTCATCTCGCCCACAAAGATGGCAGTAAAGATGTAGTTGGAAATGGTAAGAAAGACTCTTTCCTGTACAAATCAAAGAGAGGGAGAGAGAGTTGAAGCAAATATGCTAATTCTGATTTCTACAATTTCTTTACAGCACCTTTTATATATTAACATTTAATTAATCATCAGAAAATGCTACAATACAGCAAAAACAACATGATTTATATGAAACCTCAACCACAGATGGAGTGCCTGGCAAGAGAAGTCACTAAATTCAATCTACATTTTATACATTACAATCAAAAACCTTCTTGTATTTTATAGGGAGTTATTAGATGGATCACATAAAATATGGAATAATGATGGACACCCTCTGTTGGCAGTCTGGTAACCCCCTTAAATGTTTTTTTAATAGATATTTTAAATCAATTTATAAAAAAATATACATGCAATTTCATGATACAATTGAATTGTGTAAGAAAATTTATATCTAATAGATTAATGGTAAAATGTACAATATGATTTAGCTTTTTTATTAAGTAGCGGTATATTAAGTTATTTAATGTCTTAATTCAATAAGCAGTACATTTAATTGTTTAATGGGATAATTAATAGTACATTTATTTATATGATGGGACATTTAAATACAAATGTATTCAGTTTGTTTCTTTTATGCTTTTGTACTTTACAGGTGTCACAACATGATGATACTACAAAATCATCTTATCTATCTGTGCATTGCAAACTCCAGGGGGGCAAACCTTATGTAGAAAGTTTTAGAATCATATTTCTGTGCAAATAAAGTAAACAGTCCTTTGGATTATGTCTCCACAAGCTTCACATTTGAAACATTTGCCTGTTCTCTTCTGGCAGACTAGCTCTTACCTAGTTCAGTAATCTTAAATGGATGGTATCAGATTAATACATCTTCAAACCAAAATGTTAGGTTTCCCTCTGATCTGACCAGGGTACCTCACTCTACATGCTTGCTGCATCTCCTTTATTATTCTTATTGCCTTATCTGCGAGGAATCGATCCATTAATGTGGTTGCCATTAATGTGGAGCGTTTAAAGCCTTTAAATGTTCTTATCTGCCTTCTTCTTTTTCTTATTTATGCTGAACTGGCAGGTAGTTGATTATGCTGGATTCTATTTAGGGGGTATTTTAGTAAAATAAGCCAACATGTATGACAGACACTTATTTTATTCCTTTTTTTAAATAATTTAATGTCCCATCTGTTTTCATGGTTATGTGAAAAGGGGCATTCTTGTACTCTTTGCATTGTCCTACAAAGATTGAAGTTTACTCTCATCATGAAATCTAAACAAAGTTTCAAGGGGTATGATTACTTTAACAAGACCCTTTACAGATAGAAACTTCAGATGGATTTACCAGGCTGCCTTGAAGTATCTTTGGCCTCTCAAGAGCCACTGTGATGCAGTTGGAGAAGATAAAGGCCAACACAATATAGTCAAAAAGCTTATGGGCGATGATGGACTGGCACATCAGTCTGAACCTGACAGGAGAAATCAAGATAAAAGACTTTTAAAAATGCATCATAAATATTTATTTTCCTAACACTCTGCCTAAACCTATGTGCACTTTCCACCCAATCAAAATTAAATCAGCTCCTGCGATTGCATATGGTAGCTCCTTCACATCTCAGTAAGTAAATAATGTCATTCAGCCTTTGTTTTCATTGCTCCTAATTCAAAACAAATTATATTAACAGCACTGTCGGTATCCGAGGATCTCTGAGTCAAGAGGTCTGATGGGAGAGCAGAGTCGAGGGATCTGAGTGGAACGCACATAAAAAGAGTAGAGGGAGATGCTGATGGCAGATGGAAATAGGACGTTCAGGATAAACACTGAATCTGCTTTTGAGAAGTGAGAGAGAGTGACAGTGCGTTCTGCCAAAAAGCAATTAAATATTTTCACTGAAGTGCTTATCGGAACAGATGACAGGAATATAAAATATATGAAAAAATGATTATTTTGAATAAACATGGAGACTTTTGGAGGCCTTATTCAAAAAAAAATATTTGTGTCTAACGCCCTCAATGCTGATTCAACTTTTCAGTGCAAGACTTTCACATTTCCAATCTCTCTATAAGATGATGATTAATGATCTATTGATATAACATTAGCTTTTTATTCCAAATATCTTTCATTCTGCGTGATGTTGCAGTTTGTTTCCATGCAGTGGTTAGATTATGGCTTAGGATTTTCAAGCATGGAGTTTGTATGTTCTTCCTGTGCATGTATGGGTTCTGACCAGTTCTCTCTCTCTCTCTACTTTGGCTTTCATCCAAAGTCCAAAACCAGGACTTTTAGGTTAATCTGTTAATCTAAATTGCCCTTCTATGTGTTGTTTGTGATAGGCTGGCGACCTGTTTAGGGTCTAGCCTGCCTTTTGCCCATAGACTTTTACAGACAGGCACCAGGCCTCTTTCACCCTGATGGATAAGCGACAGAAGAAGGATGAATGGATCTTCATTCAAGTCGTTTTGCAGCCTATTTGAAACCATTACTTCAGTACTTCACAACAATATACTCACCATTTGTAATTCTTTTAGAACTCCTGTCATCCAGTCCCTGATCTGATCTCGCTGTCACTTCATCCTACTTGTAATACAATTCTTAAACCTTTTTAATGGGCTCCTTAGGATGGTTTATGCATGTGGGTCAGAGAACCTATTAAACTCATGGAAAAAGTATCTCTACAAACATGAGTGAGGGGACATACAAAATGTTGAAATTAGAGAATACATTTATACTTTTAATTGCCTTAATCTTGAAATAAAATTATTTGACAAATTGTAGAATTTTGTGACTGTCAGATAATGCATTCTTTAAGTGAATGAAGAACCATTGCTTGCTGGCAGCAGGGTTGCTAAGCAACAGACAACGGACCAGGTATGAAATTGATACTACATTTTCTTTTAAGGTGGCATGCTAAGTTAAAAGAGACTTATGCATTCTGCATTTGGTTGGACTGAGGACAGTTTGTATTTACACCTGAAGCAAACCGGACAAGAGACTGTTGGGAAGTGAACCAAGATCACTTCAAAAAGGGGGTCTCCGTCAGGTTATTTGATCCAGATCAGAGTTTTCCGGTCTTTGCTCACATCTAAACAAAATGTCCAGAGCAACCAACTCTGTTCCATTTAGAACATACCAGATGTGGCATTTAGGAAATACCAGATGTGGCATAAAGATTATGATAACTTACTTGTTCTGGGGGGAGAAAAGGAAGATGGACCAATCATCTCTTGTTTCGCACCAGTCTGGTCTGTATGCTTCCAACATCTTCTGGATTCGAAAACATAAGCTCTGTAAAAAAAAAAAACAACAACAAAAACATGCTGTATCACAGCTCATTTATGCACACACCTTAGAAGAAAAACTTAAAACTTCAGTGAAAAAGTTCCCTCTTAGATTGCCTTCTTTTAATTTTTCAGGCAAATTAAACAGTTACAAATGTGGCACGAGCTTGGAGCATCTTCCAACATGACCATCTGCACAGCTCTTTCCCCTGCTGTCTAAATAGCAGGGGAATTGCCATGATCCTAATTAATTGTTTTGCTCATACAACGACTTTCTGACAGTGATTCCTGGGAGAGAGACATGCACATAGAAAGTTGCTAGAAATCCAACCCAAATGAGTTAAAGATGACAGCATTTTTAAAATCAAATTTGAGTTAAATATTAGTTGTTGAAATGTTAATAACAGATTATGGTCATATGCCCTGTAGTATCTATTTCTATTTAATTTTTAACTGAAACTGGAATATTTCTTTATTTGTAATCATTTACGTTCTTTTGTCTCCCCTTTTAAACAAAGAGCAAATTACATATTCTATGTCATCATCCAGATCCTCCCGGTCCTTGCTGCGTGTGTTGACCTGCGGAAAGACGTCTGTCATCAGGTGGTTCTGCGGGTTGTCCCCTCCAGTCTGTTCCAGCTGCCGCCTGGAGGGCGGAAGGAGCAGGTGTGACAGTAGGGTCTTCCCATTACAGTCCTGGTGGATTCCCTCCAAGTCTCCACTATTACTGATCACAAGCCCTCCCGAGAAGCTCTTCTTCCTGTGGTGAGCATGGAGTTTAACTGGAGGCAGAGCATGATGTTGCAATGGGTTTCCAGTTGGAGACTGTAGCATGTTCGGGAGCTCTAATGAGAGGGCTCTGCGGTCTCTACGAGGTGCAAAATAGTTGTGGAGCTTTGAATGTGGAAGCTGAAGACAATGAGGTGCAGCGGCAGGAGGAGAGAGAAGGGACTCCTCTTCATCAGGTTGGATATGATGGTGATGGTGGGGGGTTGAAGAGGCACGAGGACCACGGATACGAAGGCTTCCACCTACCACCCCTCCTAGACCCCCCAGACCACAGCCATAGAAGGGCCTTGCAGATGTAGGTGTAAACGCAGGACTTGCAGAGGGAGATGAGGAGGAGCAGGGTCGGCCCCCAAGGCTGCTCCAGCTGGAACACAATGGGTGAGGCTGGGGAGGCAGTGGGCGGCCCCAGTTGTGGTAACCTCGACCTGGGTACTGTAAAAAAAAAAGAACCTTGTAAAAATCTACCACACATTTATAAAAAGCACTACTTCAAAATAATATTTCTGGAACCTCATTTTTCAAAATCCTCACAATAGAAATGTGTTTGAATTGTCTTTTACAAGCCCATTTCAGGATGTAGCAATTTCTAATATATTAATAAAACAACATAATAAAAGGGGTTTATTTGTTTCAACTTTTAGGAGTACCATATAACATGTCAATAATCATATTTTAAAACTTTTAATTATCCATTTTGAAAATTTACATGAATATTAATTACCTTAAAATTTGTCATGCACTAACATTGTCCAGTATATACAGAGGATCATGAATCATATATGGAAACTGCCCTATGGTTATATTTGTACACATCTGTTCCAGCTTTGATAAATGAGGACAAGAGTAACAATAACTACAAGTGTCTGCATAAAATAAAGACTGCAACTCAGCCAGGAGCCAATGTAGTTAGTGTTTAGCATTTCTACTTACCATAGCCCTCTTTTCCAGGTCAGCTCTACCAAGAGAGATAACACTGTTTTTTCTGGAGCCAAGTGCAAAAGTCAATCTCTCTCCTGGAAACAGTCCAGTGGGCAACAATGACATGTCCAGGTGTCCATTAGGGGTCAGGGTACAGAGCTTTGGGTCTGCAGAAGACAGAAGGATAAGGGTGGAGTAAACAAAGGGAATTGACAGGGGTGTTAAGAGGAGGTAAGGAGCAAAAGAAGATGAATGTGTAGAAAGAAGCTGTCAAAGACAGAAAGGAGGAGCATTAAACACGGAGCTTGCCTCCCTTTGTTTATGTGGTGCCTGTTGCTGCTATGGAAGCAGAGGTCTCCCCATCACTGTTCACAATAGATGTCCAAAAACAATGTTACAGCCACCTTCAAGGGGCAGGGGAGGGTTTAATTCACAATAAATTGCTTTTTGGAGGATAGAAAGAAGCTCATAACATTGAAACAAACAGATACTTGCCAGTGGTTCATTCATTTTTGAACATGTCTTTGGAAGGAATTGGTCTTTACAAACAATCCAAACGTGCTTTATTCCAAAAACACTGACATTTAAAAAGGTACATTTGGACTCAGGAGAACAGTGATCAGGCACCTCCCAAATGTGCTGCTAAATGTCGCTCTGTACTCTGCTGCACTGGGGTCAGTTGTTTAGCAGATAGAAAAGGCATTGCAGAGTGGATGCAGAAGGAATGGAACTTGGGTTATAGAAACTTTATTAAGCTAACATCTGTTGTCTGGAAATTTTTCTTTGTGCAATTTTGCTGAAGAAACATCAGGTTTTTTTTTTATTCCTATTTTATAACCTGCATATTTTTGCTTCAATATGATGGTTCCCTTTCACCTACACAGGTCAGTACTGATAAAATAATAATATATATATTAATAAAAAATGAATGTAATTAAGTTGAAACTAAAGTTCCAAAAGAAATATAGTACAGTTTAAACTATGGAAAACTATTTAAAATGCTGATAAAGAAGGTGAATAATACCTTTCCTTTGTCTGGAAAATTGTAATAACTTTTAAAAGATCTACAAACTTGTGAGCGAAGTTGGTACCTGAGAGGTGCAGAGAGTCTTTTAGCTTATCATTTTCATCAAAATTACAGGAAGACCTATCATCATCTGAATAGGAGCGGTTGGCATCACCCTGTTGAAGAAAGGAAAAAGAGACAGAGGCGTCAGAGAGTGGAGCCTTGTAAAAAAGTATATAACTTTTTAAAACAAACAATCTTTTTCCTTTGTTTTTTGTTTTGTTTTTAGTGAGTGCTTAAATTTAACATTACCTCTGCTTGGAAACCTTCAACCAAGATGGCAACAAGTAAATTGAAGAGCACATAGTTTCCAAATGTCATAAGAGCGACGAAGTAAAGAGCGGCACAAGGAGAGGTGGATGCCATGCCATTGTACAGCACCATATTCCAGTCCTCCTGAGTAAGAATCTACAGCAAACATAGTGGAGGTCATTAACCATTTTGGGTCATCCTTCCAAAGAAAATGCATGACGGAAATCAAGTGGTTCTTAAATACTGTTACCTGAAACACAGTGACTATGGCCCAGAGCAAGGAGTCAAAGTTCTTCCTGTCAGGAACTGTGTCCCCTGCCTCTGTCTTCAAACTGAACTTACAGCCAAATATGTGCATCCCCAAGATACTGCAATATGAGCAGAACTTTATGTTTAACAAAAACTGAATATGCGCTGATATGGTGTTATATTTATGTTTAATTTAAAATGTTTGATAAAGAACATCAAACAAGGTGTTTGTGGTTAGTAAAAGAAGAGTCCCAGAAAAATAAAAACTTTTGAAATAGAAAAAAATGTAATGTATATAAAAAGAGTTGTTACAATCAATAATGTCAAATGAATAATACTAGTTAGTCTGTTTAGGAGTCACCCAGGAAAACAAAAAAAAACAAAGTCAAAACACAAGTTACAAACTTTTAATAAACTGCACACAACTGGAACTCCTGCGTGACTGTCCAAATTGGGGGAGTAAAACATCAGTTTTACTCATTACAACATGGACCAAGGGAGAGTTCGACAAAAAAGATTAGGGAGAGTTCGACAAAAAAGATTAAAACAAAAATCAAAAAGGTTAAATATGCAGCTGTCAAAATGGCATCACATACATATTAAACTATTTGGCAAGACAAGGACAAGAAACTATTGTTTAGTTGCTTAAAGGGGAATGCTGTTTTTTTTTTTTACATTGGGACCTTGATTTTATGTTATTACATCATGTTCTACTCACCCATATGAATTTTGTGTCATTTGGAGCCATTCTGAAGATGGGCAACGACTTGAAGACACAAACTAAACTGTTCATAATGTATTCTTTATGGTAAGCCAGCATTCATAACATGTAGGCGAATCACTGTCCCCCAGACATCCGCGGTTATATTGATTATATTTATATGTTTTAAAAACAAAGCGGAGTGTGTATGACATCATAGGGAGATGTTTCTTGGATATAACCGATAACGGAATATTTCAGAACTGCTCCAAATGACACAAAACTCTGCGTGTGTACAACATGATGAAATAACGTAAAATCAAGGGCCCAGTGTAAAAAAAAAAACATTCCCCTTGGGGAGCATGGGGTGGAATATAATAACAGACCAACTCCAGATTCTTGAACTGTAATTTAAATCCATGGCTATATGGTCGATACTTTAACAGACACTTTAACTAATCCAATTAGCTTGCAAGGGATTGACAATTAACATTATGCTTTTGGAAAGGCTTGAAATCTCCCTTTTTAAAGTTTGTGAAATATGCTCAAAACATTGGTCCATGTTGGGTGGCTAACCAACTTAAAAGAATTTTGTAAATCCTGAATGTTAAACGAATAATACATATGAAGTTCCTGTCAAAAGTTTAAAGATATATATCAATATAGAATTATTAGAGACATGCATTAATAATTATTTTTGCTGTTTGCAGGGTTGAAAATCCTATTTCCATTTTTCCATAGTTCCAAAATGAAAATAATGGCATTACCTAAAGATGAAGATGAAGAGCATAAGCAGCATACAGAAGGTTGCAACGTTGTCCATAGTCTTCATTAGGACCACAAGCTGTCGCCTCAGTGCAGGCATGAACCTGACCAGCTTAATGACCCTCAGCAGCCTGAACGTCCTCAGCACTGACAGACCACCATCTGCCTGGCCAATGATCTCACACACACTGGGGGTTTGTTGTAGAAATCATGCACAGTTAGAGAGAATAGGAAGATTTGAAGAAATCAGTACAACAGGGCTACAGGAGTTAAAATTATTACTGCTGTGATCTGATTATATAACTTACAATTACAAATATATATATATTTTGAAATCATATATTTGTTCCCTTAGATTTACTTTCAGAACTGAAAAAGCAAACATGTACTTTTCCGATCAGGGTGCATCCTTTTGCACACCCGTGAGAAGTGCAAAATATACATTCTTTACTTGCTTAGTCAATAATTTTCTATAATTCAATAGATTACAGACCTGATGATAACAATGATGCCATCAAAGATGTTGTATGGGTTCCTCAAGTACTCAAAGAAGCCAAAAGCTGTGAGTTTTAGAATCATCTCCAAGGTAAACATGCTGGTGAAGACAATGTTACAGATTTCTAGTACATTGGTCAGCTCCTCGGGCTTGGTGAAGGGGTGTCAGTGCAGGGACACAAAACATAAAAAGACAAATAAAAAACAGAGTGTCAGGGAGATGGAGTGACTGACTTTTTTAAAGACAATTTAAACAGAATAAAATATTAGCTATGTTGCTTTATAAAACGCCCATTCCCATACCCATTGCCCTTTTTAAATATTACATCCACAAAGTTCAATGTATTTCAGTAGTGGAAATGTAAATAAAAACAGCTGATAGAATACCAGTGAACATTTGGACAAAAATAACATGGCAGAAGGGTCATTTTAAAGTTCAAAGCAGAGTTAGGTTATAAAACTATATCCAGAGTTTAGAAAATCTCACTCATCACTTTTAAATCAACCAACAGAGAATAAAAAGAGTACGACAAAACTCCATACCTACAAAGACATAACCATCCAGCAGGCCCAGTAAAGAAATTAATAATCAGAGAAACAATCACTTTGCTCAGTGTAACTCTGGAGCAGTTGAATATACAGTACTGTATCTACAGCTCATTGAAGAGAGTATGTTAGCAATGTTTAATTAACAAGAGAAAAAAGAACTAGACTTAATTAAGGCGCAAGAATAAAAGTATTCAAGCAAAGTACTGAGGTATCCTGCTGCTTTAATCGGAAGATGGGTAAAGCTAAATATTGAGCAATCCCTTAATAAAATATGTTAGAGAGTCCAACGCTGGTTTGAGGCATTGGTGCCCCTTCCATTAGTAAAACAATCCCAGACATATTGCCCAAGCAACATTGACATTTAAAGCATGTCTTACAGTATATGCCTTAGAATAACCCAGTCCTTGTCAGA